CGGGGTTATGTTTGGGTATCGATACGAGTGTGGACACGTAAAGTATGTTTGGGACGGTTAGTGTGCACTTGACTGTTATAAATTCAGTCGACGAACGATAGAACTATATTATTATACTGCGAGATTATTGTCTCATAGGCGTAAGTATAGAACTTCAAAATAATTGAATGGATCAATATTTCACCGAAACACGTTAAACTACTTTAATACCTACACAATGAAATAATATATTATATAGGTCATCTTAAGTTTCAACAAGATCATGGTGTGCATTACACATTTGTTATAATTTATACGAATATTAAAATACATTATTGGGTAAAATAAAATAAATAATTTAATGATATTCATCATTTTTCCTTATGATTCCCGGATACAATATCAATTATTTGTTAAATACTGAGCGACTGCAATTGGACAGACAGGGTTGTGCTTACATCACTTACGGTCAGACCAACAAGACTGAAACTATAAGTCGAAAAAATGTAAATGATAACCAAGTAAAAAATTGAACCACCTTTTTTTTAACATCAGCAAATATACTTAATAATAGGTAGTGTTGGGGTTACAGCTATCAAAAATATTGAAAATATATAAGTACCTAACAATACGTAATTTTAAATTTCGAGGCTGTAAAAAATAGTTTAAAGTAAAAAAAAATTAAAAAATCTTCTGTCACAATGAAGCTTAAGGTATATATTTCAGATGTTGTACTCAAAATAATACTGACCACCGATGAGGTTAATTATAGTACATATTTATTAATTATTATATAGGTAGTAACAACAAACAATAAATACGTTACAAAAATATACCCCGAGCACCTATAATACTAAGTAAACAATATTAATGTAATATTATGTCTCCTACCTATTCCCTCTCAAGTTATATACAATTCTATACTATATTAGTATAATCTATATAGGTTCTATTCAAATAATTGTTATGCGCGTCATGCACCTTTTTGATTTTCAAATTGATATATAACAATTTACATCTCTATAAGTAAATTTTTTTAAAACCACTTACAATTTACAATAACACAATTTTAATATTATCATGAATTCATAATTGACTTCTACCTTTTGTAAATTATTAGTTATATACTTATTTACATAATATTATATAATACATATTTGCCCATTAAGTGTACCAACTCTATGTGACTCAAACTTTGTTCAATTCGTTATTTAATATTCGATGTATGGTTTCAAAATTAATCTTAACTTTTCCGTTGCCCGGAATAAAAATTCTGATTCGCTGCAGTACATTATCAGGTAGGCAATCTATCTGCGGTAGATCGTGGACCCCGTGCAGTATGTACGTTAGTGTATGATTTAACTCTATTACCTACTCTAAAGTCTAAAGTATCAAAGTTATACCAAGTTTGTCGTATTCTACCTATGGTGGATTAATATAATCAATTAATACAAAATATTAATTTAACATAACAGTACTAAAATCAGATGAATAAAAAAAAACCTAATTTAACCATTTTTAAATTAGAAAATCTTCTTCTCAGTCCCCAGAGGTCTAATCTACACACAAACATTCAATTGTATATTATATATATGTATATATTGACAAAAAATAATAGTAAAAATCAACAAACATGCCCGATTAACCAATAGCAACCAAAATATAATACACTATTATTATTTTTTTTTTTTTTTGCCATGTCGCCAGGTGTGCACTTAAGAGGCCATAACTCCGGAACCACTATTATCACACAGCGTACCTACATACTTCACAAAAACCATATACATGTCAATCTTAATATGCCCTGAATTTTTTTTATAGAAATCGGTTTGGTGGATCTTGCGTTATAAAATTTATTCAAAATGTGCACTTATTTTTATATATCTATATAGATTATATTTATTATTGGTTGATAATTGATATTGGTTAATCGGGAGGATCAGGTACAAGCATACATCAAATCAAATTTCCGCATTATATTAATCCACCACATTATATTAAAATAAACTTCTTGGTATAACTTTGATACTTTAGAGTTAAATCTACACTTAAGTACCCAGTAAACAAATATACGAACATTTTACGTATACTCTACGTATATACATACACCAATTTACGTATAATGTATGTACAGATTACGTTTATTAAAGTGATATTTATCGTCTATTGTTGGGTCAAAAGACCACTATTTCACGGATATTCAACGAATAATACTCTTCAATTAACATATGCTTTTCGTATATTATACGTTTAGGTAAGGGATATTAAACGTATGTTTGATACATTTTAGGTATAGATTGCCTACCTGATAATATATTGCTGCGAATCAGACATTTTATTCCGGCAACAGAAAAGTTAAGATACATTTTGAACACCATACACCGAATATTAAATAACGAATTGAACAAAGTTTGAGTCATATGGAGTTGGTATATTTAACATTTTAACGGGCAACGAAGTGCACAGGATCAGCTATTGTATATAGGTATTTATATTGACAAAAAATAATAATACAAATATCAACAAACATGCCCGATTAACCAATATATAAATAATATAATACACTATTGTCTATTATTATTTTAATCTGCAACAATAAACTATATTTTAGATTCTGAGCGGAGCGGGGAATCTAGGGGTTTTACAATGGTGTTTATTTTTTTTTTATTTTATATCCTGTATACAAAATTTCTACCAGAAGGAGTTCTTCTATTTCAACATATAGACATATAGTACCTTATATTTTAGAAAATTGGATCAAGGCGGTACTTTAGAGAGGTCATCATTTATCGATTTTATCAATATTTATTAAATACCACGTTAAAAATCACCAAAAAATTACGAAAAACTGCTAAAATTTGGATTTTAATTTCTAACGCTTTGTTTATTACCATAGAAACGAATAAAAAATAATAATATTATAATATTAGTTCAACTTACATGGTAATATAATAATTAATAACAATATAAAATATCCAGACTGACAAACCATCTCCGCTAAGAATCGTTTTTCTTATACAATGATATTATATCATTGAATTCAAATATAATACAATACATTATACAATGGCCAACTTTTAACCTACTGTACAGCAGTGTTATCCACTTCCTCGCTTTTTAAAAAAAAAAAATTTAATTTACATTTTTCTCTTTTTTAATTTGTATGTTTTTAAATATCAGTTGATCTGATAGTTTTCTATACATATCAACGGAACAAGAGCTTGTGAAAATAATGCATTGTCGAGTTATGTTTAAAATTATTTTTAATGGGATTTATTATCAGCAGGGCTAGTGAGTTCATGCTCTAAAAAATGCCCAAATAAGTATGCACTTATGCACTAAAAGCTGGAAAAATATGCATTGAAATATGCCTTTAAAAGTTCAAAAATATGCATTTATATGCACTAAAAATCTAAAAATATGTAGATTAAAAAATAAAAATACTATAAGTAAATTTTGGAATAACAAAAAATTTCCGTTCATATTATTAAAAGTTATATTTTATTATATTGCAGTCGGTGAAGTGATGTTTTGTGTTTCTCAGTATTAATATGTTGCACAGCACTAAAGCGTTTTACACTCACGACTTCGGACTTTTACTTCGCAAACCTTACAAAATAATATTTTACTGTCGGCCGAGAATATATTTTCACCAAATTAATTTACTAATTATTGTCTTAGTCTACAGGCCGATGACAGTTTTTTTTTCGGCATGATCGATAATTTCAAAACGAAGTTAAAAAATATATAAGATTTTCGAAATATTGTTAAAGTCTAGAATAAACCAGTAAACCTCTGTAAAAGTATCAAGAAGATAAGTCAGATAAGACTATAAGAGTAAAGACTATTTTCATATAACATGTTTTCTACTAATTGCTTAATGCGGGCTATACGTACCTATACATTCGTATACGTACGTTTGTACTCACTTTATCTGCTCTATTTTAATAATTTGATGTTGCGAAAATTTCCATATATTTTATACTGTGTAAAAATATAAATTATTGCATTTTGATCAAATTTCGGTAAAAATATGCACAATAAAATAGAAAAACGCATAAATATGCCAAATAGTTAAAAAACCTCTAAATATGCAAAAATATGCAACATAAAATTTCACATACTTAACCACAGTACCTTGAAATGGATTTCTATGTCACCTAGCATTAAATACGACTTAGCAAGATTGATATGCAAATGCATGAACTCACTAGCCCTGATTATCAGCGTTATTGATAGTCTTTGTTACAGAAAGTTAATTTATCGATTTTGTACTTGGTAGTTAATTTTTTTTTTAATACTAACTAGTTAAATCAACTGTAATCTATTTGATTTTTTATTAAATATTGTAATTGCTTTAAATATAAATTAAATGCTTTGTTTATAGATTATATTACCATTGAAACCGATATTACGTATAAATACATTTTGAAAATTTGCAACTGGTATTACTAAGACTTTATTTTTATATAAAATAATTACTTTTCAACTACTCATAATTTATGTAACAAATAATAATATAATGATTTATAATTTTAAAACTAGACGATATTATAATCTTTTTATAGAAATTAGTACACCAATATGTACATTAACTCCTAGTAGCACAATAAAAAACTTGATAAACATAATATCATGTTGAAAATAATCATATGACTTATTTGACATGAGTTGTATTATTTTTAAATTAATTCTTTGTTAAATATTTAATAGACACTAGTATGACATAAACAGAAAAAATGTATACAATAAATTCTATTGTTAAATAATGTTTGTTTATTTTGTTCTTATTTATATTAGCCACATATAAATGAATATACATAGACAAAATAAATTGAATAAATATTTTGAAAAATATTGATGATATTGCTATGTATTTATCAAAATATTTTTAATAATAAAATTATAATAAATAATGTAAAAAAAGTATAATTTAATAAAATAACAAATAATTAGTAACAGTATAAGTAATTATTGAAATCAAATAGAATTATGTACATATAATTGTAGTTCCATTGAGGTTAGATTTTTAGACCTTGGAGTAATTTATCTAAACTCTAAAATTAAAAAAAAAACACTTGTTATTATATTTTAATTTGTAACAAAGATATATATATAATATATAGTACAAATAAATTTGTTTATATTTCTGGGACAAAAATAATGTGTTACTTACGTTGAGTTCCCATAATATTATTTTCCCATCCAAACCACTACTAGTGAATTTCAAAACGGCATTATTTGACTCTGTATGAACACGCAAACATGTTAATGTATTTTGATGTTTAGTATCAAGTTCATAGTCACTGTTGATTCGTGCTTGACGATCCAAGCTTTGAAATTTTTTCATTGCACTAGAAAACATATTTTATGAATAATATTATCTTTTAAATTATTATAAACCTAAATCAAAATGTAATATGTTTTCTTTAGATTTCTAGTGTATAGTTACCTTAAACCAGCAGCTTCTTTTTTCTGAGAACTGTCAATTTTAGAAACAAATTGCACTTTATTATTGGAGTCAATGCAGTACAACATTGGACAACATCCATGACCCTATTTATAATAAAATATTAATTTATGCTATAGACTTTAAAGTTTTAGTACTACTATTATTTAGTATGTAATGCCTATAATTTAAAATGCTAATCATAATGATCTGCATTGAATAGATTTGATTAGTATTTTCTTAATTTTGTATTTTATTGGAAAAGTGTATTTTAATTTATAATAATTATAAACTCACTGCAGCAACTAATGCTCGATCAGAAACCCAAATACAGCTTATGAAAGGTAACTCATTTGTTTTTAATTTATTTACAACTATGCTTCCTTTAGAAACATCAGCAATAGTAATAGATGAATCATGAGCAACCCAACATAATCGGTTACCAGTTTTATTAAATGCTAGTCCATGAATCCATCCACCTAAAAATATAATTAATTCAGTAAAAAAAAAAAAATACCTTAATTTATGTACCCTATATAAATTTGTATAGTAAATATTTGATATCTTTTCATACAATTTGAATTGTTAAATTTACTGAATGTGTTTGAGTAGTTATAACTTATATGTACATATGCTTATAAGTTATACTATGGTTCAATAAACATTTAAAGGACAATTTTTATACAATGTTAATGGGTTTTAAGAATCAACAAATTATGTATAAATATAATGTACCTATAGCTTGCTGGAAGTGACATAAAGTAAATATATTAAGTACATAGGTTTATTTTGTTTTATGATAATTTTTCAATATAACTATTTTGAATAGACTATACAAAAATATCTTAATATCTTATTATATTTGTAATGAATAATTTTAAGTAATTCCTAATTACATTTGAGTAAAATATATAAATTTACCTCCTCTAGAAGAATTTGTAAATTCAGCAACTAAATTTGGTACAGAAGTATCATCAGTGTCCCATTCAGTTTTTACTTTTTGACACTGGTCAACTTCCTTCATATGTACATTAAACAGTCTTACTCGAAAATCAGCAGTACCAGTAGCTAATACCATGTTGTTTGGATGCCAATCTAAAGCCGTTACTGTAGATCGGATTGGCTTTTTTATATGTTTTGACACCCACCAATCATTTTCTACTTCAAAATAGCACACAGATATTAATTGAGCTCCTGAACCAACGGCAAATTTTTTTTCTAAAAAGAATTTTTAAATCATGGGTTAGAGTAATATTAATAATAAATACGATTATATATTTTAAAATACTGGAAGCAACATAGAAAAACATAAGTAGTACATTTTGTAATATTTAGTTATTTTAATACCCTTTTCGTGTAGTTAAGAACTTAATATATTTTTAAAAGTAAATTAAGTGACATATTTTCATTTCAAAACGCTATACCTCAATGGTAAAGTACATTTTTATGTAATAAATATAAGAAAAACAATGTTGATAAATGTAAATAATTTAATGTAACTACCAAATTTTGATGAGAATTGAGAATAAACTATAAAAATACTGTTGGATGTTGATACCACACATATAAATGTAATATCACAAAATTACCATTGGGCGACCATTTAACACAAGTCGCGGCTCTACTAATTCTTAATAATACAAGAGTTGGTTTCCATTTTCCCTTGTCATCAATTGTCCATACATACGCATTACGATCCTATTAAATGATAAAAGCAATATAATTATGAACAATATATAGGTTATATATAAAAAAATATATATTATTATTATTATTATTATTATTATTAAGATACATTTAATAGAACTTACAGCTGAGCAAGTAACAATTCGATTAGTGTTAGGTGCCCAATCAATTCCAGTTACTAGAAGTCCATGCTGATCTAGATTATCTAACAATGTCCAATCACTCAAATTTGGTTCATATTTGTATATTTGCACTTCATTACTATTTGGAATTACTGCTATCTCTATATTATAATATTAGAATTAAAGAATTAATAACATTTTTTAATATACTTAAAACTATCAATTGGTTGATTAAATCAAACTTACGAGTTCTATTTGCATTCCATGAATGTGCAGTAACTGGATTATCTCCTAAGTTGTATTCCATTGTACTAAATTGAATAAATTAAAACTAAACGTTTAGATACTATTTTAAATTATAATAAAAATTGTTTATTTAATTATTAGATGGTTTTTTGGATATAATACTAAATAGTAATTACGATGACAGTGCTTATCCAACTTAGCAACTCCCAAGTCCCAAACTTCCAACTTCAACCAATTACCCAGTCACCAAGTATACAAGTGTGCACAAAATTTACTGAATATTCAATATAAGTGAGAACTGAGTAATCAAGTCCCAAACCCAAACTTCCAAAACGGGCTGGCGGGCGGCGGCTCACAGACAGCTCAGCAGTGTAGCACTCCGTATTAAGTGATAAACAGTATGACACTATGTACAATATTAATTGTACAATAATATGCGCAATATAACACATTTTGTTTTTATTGTAACTGTAAAGAAGACTTTTTCTTCTGACATCGTGTAACCACCCTTTTTGAGTACGAATTTGAATTACTTAAATGTGTTTAAAGGCTCTGTCAAACAGAAAGCTTTATTTTCAACCCGCTTGATTTTGTAATTTGTTACAACACCTCGTTTTAATTTATCGCCTTATTTTAAAGCACTACGCCGACGAGCCATTTACCGCTTTAACGCGCGCGTTATAAGTTATAACGTGTTCTGTTTGACAGAGCATTAAGCAACTTTGAATTCAAAGTTATTTTCTATCTTAAAAGTTGACTTACTTAGAAGTGAGAGTGAGCCAAAGTTTTGATTTCTGCAATTATGCATGTTGTTTTTATCGTATTTTTTTTAACATTCTATCTACAACAAATTCTACAATGTTCCGTGTGATTTCATGTTTTTTTCTGGTGAGGTGTCGTTACTCATTCGCACATTTACATCATTTTCAACAAATTATCAATAAACTGTTAAAAAATATGATAAATACAATATCAATACATTCTGCATAAATCAAAACTTGGCTCACCCCTCAGTTAGCCAACTTTTAAAATAGAAAAAACTTGGTCAAATAGTTGCTTAAAAAAAACGGGTAAGTGGGTGTTACTCTTCTGTACAGTAGGTTACACCTAGTGAGTCACTGTAATGGATGGTGTTAAATTTGAATTCAATGAGTTTGTATACGAAAAACGATTCTGAGCGGAGACGGTTTGTCAATATTTTATATTATACATTTATACTTATAATTTATATTATTATTAATACAAGGCGTAGGCGGTAAGCTGAATTAATATTATTTATATATAATAAATAATAATATACTTTAGAAGTTCCAAGAACCCACATATAATATTTTACAAATAATATAAAAACTAAAATAAGTTGAACATTTTATTAATTTTTAACTACTAAATAATTTGTAAATTTTGACAAAATTTGTACTTTAAATGCTTATAAAAAAATCGTGATTATTGATTTTTAATACTTTTTTTTTTTTATTAGATAAAATAGAATATTTACAATCTGTAATTTTATATATATGCAATAAGTAAATTTAGTAATGAAAGAAATAACAACAACATGAATGGCTTGAGGAGGGAGGCCCACCAGTGTGGATACCCTCTAGCTTGGGGGAGAGTTTTTATTTTTTATTATTTTTTTTTTTTTATATATATTAGTGCAGGTCGGGATTCAGGAGATCGCGACACCAGTGTCTTTTTAATCGACGTGGAGGGTTGTTAGGCATGAATTCACTGGCCAAGTTGGAAATCAGCGGATTTGTGTGGTTGGCTGTTTTGGTGATGTGTACATTTTTGTAGTAGTTTTTGGCTGTTTTAGAGACTGTTTCAATTTTAAGACCCTTATGTAGTGAGAGGTTTGAGACGTACCATTGCGCAGATGTTATTAGGCGAAGGGAAATAGACTGGAAGGCTTGTATAGTCCGTATTTGGGATCGAAGGCTTGGCACATCCCCATATTTGGATGCCGTAGGCCCAGATAGGTTTTAACATTGATTTGTATATTTGTATATTTGCTATCAATAGAGAGTTTGGACTTGAGAATAGGCTGTAAGAGATGAAGTCTGGAGTTAAGAGTCTTTCTTTTGATTTTGAGGTGTGGGCCCCAAGTTAGACGCTTGTCTAAAATTAAACCTAAGTATTTGGTTTGAGTTGTGGTTTGGATTGGATTGTTTTGAAAATAGATATTAGGAAGAACAGCTTTTCTCAAAGTAAAAGGAATGTGAAAGGACTTGTCTGAATTGATTTTTATTCTCTATTTGGTGGACCATTTTGAAATATTATCAAGATGTATTTGGAGGTTTTGGTAATTGGTATGCTATTGTGGAATCGGAATGGGATGAGAGGATTGCCGTGTCGTCGGCATAAGATTTTTAATACTTACAACAGTTACAACTGCCATTATAACAACTTATATGGAACCTTATTGACATTCATAGAAAAGAAATAAAAAAAATTGAAAATTGAAAATGTCTATAAACATCTCAAAACGAGTCGAAATATTTTGAAAATGTTATCATGTAGAGAAAATTATAAAATAAAAATTTGATGAAAATTTCAACTACGGTTATTGGTTTTTGAATGACGACAAAATAAGAAAATGAATTTAACTTTCCGGTAAACTTTTCTTTGTTTATTCAATGTAGAAAAACTTAAGGGGAATCCTGTATAAAAATTTTAAATCTTAGATAATCATAAAAAAATTTGCTAATTTTCGTGAATCGTGATTTCGATGTATTTTGACAACATTTTAACTTCAGTCAAAAAATTTCAGACTCTCATAAAAAATTATTGTGGATTTACTCTCAACTTTTTTTTTAATTTCCACAGACGACATCTTATGAGGACCGTTTAAGGTTCAACCGTTGTATTACATTTTACATCGACAAAATTTTTTAAAAAAACTAATAAAACTCGAAATTTTTTTATGCATATAAATAGTTTTTGACCTACCAAAAAATGTTGTATAGACAAGTACGTAAGCACTGATTACAATATAATCTGTGATAGAAGTAATAAATAATAATATATAGAACCCATAGATATATATCTAGGATAGACCAGAATAGACAGTCATGACTCGTGAATACTATGGTTTATGGTACCAACTACTATAATTATAGTTGTGGTACCAATTTCTCAATCCTTATCAAACGTGCCATGTTGAGTCTTGTGTGAGTGTGTTATCAGTCGTGTATACATTATTACTAACTTTTCACTGGTGGACTGTAATAATTTTTCTATGGACTAGTCCGAACTGAACTTTTTTTAGTCTAGTCCAACGTTTTACACATTTATATGGCAACTTATAAACATAATTTTATCACAAAACCTTAAGTCTTATACAGAATTCTTTTGTCTGTGAAACTCAATTATAATTAGGTTGGCGTGAGTCCGTGATAATTGAGTCGTAATATTATAGGTTTTTCCGTGCTTACATTTTTATTAATCTTTAAATTTAAAAATTAAAAAATTTAAAAAATGAATAACATTGCCACGCAGAGAATCAAAAGGGAATTTAAAGAAGTCATTAAGAGCGAAGAGGTATCTAATTAATTTACAATTATTTTTGACACAAATATTTTATTAGGTTTTCAAACACTGTATTAATATCTTAGAAAACAGTTAAAATATTTAGATACAGCATTATTATTCGATTTGTTATGCATAAAAATGTTGTGAAATAATTGTTTCATAACAATGGACTTATTTTAAAATATAAATTACTTTATTAATCATCATCGATATACTTAATGTTTTGTTTATCAAACTTATTATTTAATTTCTCCATGACTTCATTTTTTAACTGATTTTGTCATTTATTTGCCTGATTAAATAATTCATATTATCTAATATAAATATATTTATTTATTTAATTTGATTTATTGTAATATTTATTACAAATATGAATGCATTTTATATTTTTATTTAGCTTGCTAAATGTTCAATCAAAGTGGACTTAATTGGTGATAGCTATACTGAATTAAAAGGTGAAATTGCTGGCCCACCTGATACACCATATGAAGGGGGTACATTCTTTTTGGAAATTAAAGTGCCAGAAACATATCCTTTCAATCCACCTAAAGTAAGTAGACTTTTGCATTCATTTTTATCATAATATAAATATTTAAAAAAAATTATAGGTACGATTCATGACTAAAATATGGCATCCAAATATTTCATCCGTCACTGGAGCTATCTGTTTAGACATTTTAAAAGATCAATGGTAAGTGTACAATTTTTTGAACATATTTAAGTAATTAAATGTGCATATACTTACGATAACCATAACAAATGTAAAACCATACCAGTTTGGCCATTCAACCTGATAAAGGATTACCTGTTTTTAAAATTTGTAATTTACCAGTTAGTTTTTTTCAGTATCCCTCTAACTTTGTCATATATATAAATGATGCTTACTCTTATGATTTAGTTCAATAAGTTATTAATTTTAATATACTTTAATAGGGCTGCAGCTATGACTTTACGTACAGTACTGTTGTCTCTACAGGCACTTATGGCAGCTGCTGAACCAGACGATCCACAAGATGCTGTTGTTGCTAAACAATATAAAGAGTATCCAGAAATATTTGCTAAAACAGCTAGCCACTGGACTAATGTTTATGCTGGAGGTATAATATGCAGTTTAAGTAACCCAATTATATTTATTAGATACTGGTACACCTAGTTAAAAAAAAAATATTTTAAAAGTATATTTAATTTTAACTATAGAATATATTTACAAATAGTATCTATCACGTATTTTTGTTTGTTTTAATTGCGTATATAATTTTAGTTGCAATTGCTATTTTAGGTCCAAATAAAAATTCAGACTTTGACACAAAAATTCAGCGTCTCATAGATATGGGAATAGAATGTGATCAAGCACGTGGAGCATTATCTACTTACAATTGGGATTTGGAACGAGCTACAGAACAACTGTTTAGTTAGGATGGACTAATTGTTTTGGGTTATGATTAAAACTATAAATTTATCATTAAATCAATGTAAAATATTGAACATTATAATGAGTTTTTCTAAACACTGTGTTATTTAAAATTTTGTTTTACACATTTCTGATTGCAAAGTAATATTAATAGTATATTTTTCAATTAATTATTTTTTTATTTATTTTATAGCTAAGATATTTTCCTCAGTTCATTGTTTCATTTTCTTTGTATGTTTATTTATATGTTTATATACCATCTATACATATATATTTATTTAATATAATATATGTATAGCCGTATAGGTATTATCACATATTAGGAATAAAGACAATTTTAAAGTCATAAATAATACTAAAAATAAATATCATTAGTTATTATTGATTTTTTTAAATATATGTTTGATATTAAGTCTTATATTCTATTTAATTTAAAATAACCGATTTTGAATTTCATTGATATAATTTAATTTTGAATATGTAGTAATTTGAAAGATATTAAGAAGCATACTTACCCAAAAAGTTAAAAAGTTAAATATATAGTGAAAAAAAAAATGATAAAATAGCTTTCTTGTTTCACATAAAAAATTAATTTTAATTCCAATTAATAGGTGACAATAATTATGCTGAGAAAATCTCAAATTGAGAAATAATCTTTATTGATCATTATACATTAATGTTGATAGGATGTCTTTAAAATGCTGTGTTAAGACGAATAGTACTGTGCTTGATATTGTTTACACCCATTAGGTCGTTACTTCTACCCAAAGTGTAGGTTTACATCATAATTCTCCCTATTTTCTCTCGTGTGCAGTTCTAAACATAAATTGTTAAGCTTAGAAAGATTCAGAGGCGCAACTATGTGGGTGATAGGGTATGGTAAAGCAACTCCAACTTCTATGGCGTCCTAACACATTTCAAAAGTTTATAGTTTTAATAATGTACTTTTATTTTAGATTCTGAGTGGAGCGATGAATGTATTGATTTTACAATGATGTGTGTTTTTTTTTTGTGTCTGTCATTACCTTTTAAGACAGTAAAAATTCTTGGTACTTTCCTGTTATTATACGAGATTACAGCTATTATCTCGACTACCTCCAATATCACGACTGCCGTGATTGTTTTGTGAAACATCACAATCCTATTATCTAATACTACCAAAATGTGCATGCTTTCCACAGTCCACAGACTACCTTAATTTTATTAATCATGATTAATTCTTTGATGTTTTCGAAAAAACTTTAATTTGACTTTCTTATAGAATTTTTTTTTTCGATAAATGTAGGAAATCTTATAAGGAATCTTGTATTACATTTTCATATCTTAGATTTAAAAAGAAAAATTTTTATGAATTTCTAACTCGAAATAATTTGCAAATTTTCGTGATTTTTCCATATTTTGTCATTTTTTGAACATTAAATGCTTAAAAAAAAAACTGTGACTAACGATTTTTAATATTTTTCATCTGTCTTTGAAACAATATAGTAGGAGTCTTGTATTAAATTTTCAAGTATTTTTACTCAACAAATAAATTTTTATTGATATTCATAAAAAAAAAAACTAATAAAATTGGAAACTGAAAATGTTCCTAAACAGTTCAATATAAATCAAAATATTTTGAAAATGTTATCGTGTATAGAAAATGCAAATATAAACAACCACTGAAAATTTCATGTATCTACGGTTATTTGTTTTAAAGTTACACCAAAAACCAAAATCGATTTTTTGGAAAACCGATTTTGCGTAAAAATTCCCGTTTTTCCTTAATTTTTATTTTGTTTTTCCCGGCGCTTTTGAAAACTACTGGGAAATTTAAATTTTGACCTCCCCAATGCACCAACGATATTCACTTTCCAATCGAACAAGATACTGAAGTTGAAAATCGAAGCATTATTTCGACTACTTATCGTCTACACAGACACAAAAAAAATAAAAAATAAATAAAAAAATAAAAAAAACACACATCATTGTAAAATCAATACATTCATCGTTTCACTCAGAATCTAAAATAAAATCTGTTTAATTTTTTTTTCTAATAATGGAATTGTGAATTTAATAATGAATAAAAGTATAAACTAAATATTGACAATGTGTTATGTCAGGTCACGTATCTAGAGGGACAAGTATACAAAGGGACAAGAGTTTAGCTTTTATGCCTGTCCTTGAAGTACCTATTGTGTTTTTGTATGATTCAATGATTGTATACAGGGTGTTTCTGAAATGAATGAGGAAACTAGTATATGCGTACTCAGTGTGATGACCCAATGATGATTTTTTTGAAAATTTTTTTCTACCTTCAAAATCTGGGTTTTTTCAATTTATTTTTAGAACATTATCTTAAATGTAAAAAGAAATACTCAAGTTGTATTTTTTGTAAAAATCTCATACGAATCGAGGTGTCACATCATTTTTGAGCTTGTCGCGCGTTTTTCACGCTCGAACCGCCGATTAAAAAAAAATGGTGGGCACATCGATTTGTATGAGAAAACTACAAGATAAACAGTGGTGATATTTATTTGTTGAAATTTAACATACACGATTAATTAACACATTGTTTTACATTGTCAACTAATAAAAATGATAAATAATAACATATAATTAGGGTTAACAGAGTCTTAAATGATCGAATTTATGTGTTAATTAATCGTATATGTTAAATTTCAACAAATAACTATCACCACTGTTTATCTTGTAGTTTTCTCATACAAATCGATGTGCCACACCATTTTTTTTTAATCGGCGGTTCGAGCGTGAAAAACGCTCGACAAGCTCAAAAATGATGTGACACCTCGATTCGTATGAGATTTTTACAAAAAATACATCTTGAGTATTTATTTTTACATTTAAGATAATGTTCTAAAAATAAATTGAAAAAACCCAGATTTTGAAGGTAGAAAAAAATTTTCAAAAAAATCATCATTGGGTCATCACACTGAGTACGCATATACTAGTTTCCTCATTCATTTCAGAAACACCCTGTATATTTAAGTATGATAAGTTGATTTGTAGAGTCTAGGGGATTAACGAATAATAAATTAATAATTTTTATATTCTTAAAATACCCAAGGCTCAAATAATTGAGTAAAAAAAGTTAATATTTTAAAATGTCTATTATGATATTTTGTTTTTATTACATTATTGTTCTGTGCTTTAACATATAGATAGGACATTAGGATACAATGCATCTATTAATCTATATTAATTAGTATAAAACACAATTAAAGATATGCATTAATTATATATTTAATATTATACATTAGAAGATATATTAAAGATATATTAAGGGGATTCGATACCGTGATTCTCTATTTTTGTCTAACACACGCGTGACATAGTATTTTAGACGTGTTTTTTGCAATTGATCTATTGAAGTGATAAGATTTCTGAAAACAGATTTGAATTGGTCGTCAAGTCTACTTGAAATCGACTTTCCCACATTTTTGATTTTTTGATTTTACCTTCTCCAAAAATTGAAATAACAGAATTTTTAAATACTCTTTTTGAATATGACATTTTAAAAAATTTGGGGGATAATAACAAAAATGTGGGAAAGTCGATTTCAAGTAGACATGACGACAAATTCAAATCTGTTTTCAGAATTTAAAGGTATATCTTTAATCGTGCTATAAAGTCGAGTGAACCCGAACGCAACGGCGGTGGTTAGTTTGGTACCACGTTAATTTATTATGCGTAATATTGTTCTGTGGTAATACGGCGTATTATATGCGCAATAATATACCTATTTACTATGTAGTAGTAGGTACTAGATTAGGTTAGGTATTGTTCTGTGCCCTGTGGTACTGTATACCCAAGGTGGATTTTCAAATATCCATAAGTCAACGATTCCCAAAGTGTGAGCCGCACTGCCGTAGAATTTTATATGATCCAAAAATACATTTGAAAACCCACCGATGGCCGTGACGGAAAAGATTACATTTATATAAATAAAAATGTGTAAATTATATTGTATAATTATTAATTTAAATTAAATACATATTTTCCTACAACCCATTACTATTTTGTATTGGTTTTTATTAAATTTTTCTATTTTTTATGATTAGTCATGATATTATTTGGGGAAAGGTGCCCTAATCAAATCTTTGTTCAAATAGGACGCCACGAGCCAAACACTTTTAGGAGCCCCTGCCATGGGCTATAAATAGCTTAAAATATTAGTTTAAAAGTTTTTAAAATGTCATTGTTTTGTTGTAATTATAAAACGAACAACTATCGATATATCATATTATATAGTTGAAACTTGTTGCATTACGTTTTTGATTATTTACTATATGTCTATATCCAATTAAATTTTGTAAATATCTCTTGGTTGGTTCGGCGCTCGAGAGATAGGTTAGGTTAGATTAAATGCCCTTTTTAGATTCTGAGTGGAGAAATAAATGTATTGATTTTACAATGATGTGTTTTATTTTTTATTTTTATTTTTTTGATTTGTGTCTGTGTACACAATAAGTAGTCGAAATAAGGATTCGATTTTCAACTTCAGTATATTTTCGATGGGAAAGTTAATCTAATTGTTGTATAAATTCTAAGTAGTTTTCAAAAGAGCCCCGAAAAACAAATAAAAAATTAAAGAAAACGGTTCACAAAATCGATTTTGGTTTTTGGTTAACTCTAAAACAAATGAAATACATGAAATGTTCACTGATTGTTTATATGAGCATTTAGTATTTACTATACCTACACCATAAAATTATAATATTTTGACTTATTTTGAGCTGTTTACAGAAATTATCTGTTTTAATTTTTTTTCTTGTTTTTTTCTTTAGATGTCAATAAAATTTTATTCGCAAAACTAGAAAATTTAATGCAAGACTCCTAATATATTGTTACAATGGCAGTTGAAAAATATTAAAAATACAGTCACAATTTTTTTTTATAAGCATTCAAGGTTCGAATTTTGACAAATTAATTAATCAAGAAAATGTACAAATTATTTTGAGTAAAATGTTGGGTTTTAAGCCCTGCAGTTTTCGATAGTAGCTAC